ATATGTATAGGTTTGGGCCAAGTTAGAAAGGTACATATGGGCCATAGCCTTTCAATGGAGGCTCATTTTGGTCTCATAAGGTCAAATGAATAAATACTACAAAGGCTTTGGATTAAGCAATATTCTATTCATTTAGTGCATAATTAGTATAAACTTCCACATGATTCACTAATAAGATTCTATGCTTCAATCATTGAGCCAATCTAATGAAAATGAGACAAGCTTTGTGATGATTATATACAAACCCAATTTCTACGTCTAATTGGTTACCGTGTCTATATCAACGAGATATACCTCTTTTTTCCTTCTTTTTTTTTTCCCGTGATTTAATCATCAAACCAAGTAATGTGGTCATGTCACTGGAGAATACAGGAGCTGTAATAGCTGTAATGAAAATGAGCTGTAATAACTCTTCATCAATGTCCTCAACTCCACGGATTCTTTTCAGTTGCTGTCGAGCCTCGCGTTGCGTCCTCGCTCGATCATGGAGTTCGGAGTGTCGGGAAGAATCAACGATCCAATCGAAATTGTAAGAGCTGGCACCACCACGCCACCCAAACTCAAGCGCCATCCCCAACCACCTTCGATCTTCACGAAGAGATAGTTCCACACATTGGCTATCAAAATCCCCATTGTAATCGACAATTGGAAACCAATATTCAGAGCTCCTCTGTATTTGTATGGAGCCGTTTCAAACAGATAGAGTCGCACAGACTGTAAAAAAACTAAAAAAAAAACAGCCCATTCAAGGTTGGATTTGACCTACCATCGGAATTATGTCGAAACAAGTACAAGAACCAAATGAAAAACTTGAGGGGAGAGAGCTTTTTGGAACGAAAAAAATACTCGGTGGAATTCACCACGTTTCTTTCAGCATCATTCCTGAGTTGTAACTTTGCTTCCATGGGATACTTGGTCGAGTTGCACTCTGCTATCTTAAATTGTTGCAATAACTTCTTAGCATAGGCCGATTGCTTTAGCATGATGCAATCTTTCCTATGGTCCACTTCAATACTGAGGTAGTATGTGAGTAACTCGAGATCAGTCATCTCAAATTCTTTCATCATTTGCTCCTTGAACTCTTTGTCACCTTCCACACTTGTACCAGTGACGATCACGTCATCAACGTACACGACAACGATGAGTGTTTCTGTCTCATTGTTTCTTGTATACACTACTTGTTCTTGCAAGCACTTCATTAAGTTTAGACTCTTTTAAGATTTTGTCCAGACGTATGTTCCACGCCCTCGATGCTTGCCATAGACCATAGAGGGCCTTTGACAACTTGTACACTTTATGTTCTTCGGCTTTGATGACGAACCCTTCAGGTTGGGCAACATACATTTCTTCTTGGAGGTCACCATTTAGGAATGCTGATTTGACGTCTAAGTGATGGACCTCCCACCCGTGTTGAGCTGCGAGGGCAAGAATCAACCTTACAGTGTCTAGTCTGGTCACATACGCGAAAATCTCCTCAAAATCAACTCTTTGTCTTTACACGTATCCCTTCGCCACAAGTCTTGCTTTATGTTTGATGACATTTCCTTCACTATTCTTCTTCAACTTAAACACCCACTTCAAACTAATGGGCTTATGTCCGAACGGTAAGTTAGTTAATGTTCATGTCTTATTCTTCTCAATGGCTTCAAGCTCTTTTTGCATGGCCTCCTACCACATCGTCTCAGTTGTTGCCTCACAGTAAGGTTGTTAGCTCCTCGGCTGCGAGCAACACTAACTCATTAGGATCCAATTCTTCTTCAAGTGTATCCGCATAAATTTCAGCAAGAGAACATAACTTCTTTGGTCCATCCTCTGTTGTGGATCCTCTTGTGCTCTCGCCTGAGCTCCCTTGTTCTGGAGAGTCCATCATGCCTTTCGGTGTCACCAGTGATGACATGTGTGGACTTGTTGGTGTTGCTGTAGGAGCACTTTCTAGATCTGTTGCATCTTCCTCTTCTTCCAGAGTAGTGAACTCGATAACAATCTACTTGTTGTCACCAACACTGCACCAATTCCACTTCTTCTCTTCTTCGAATATGACATCCCTACTTACATAAATAGGGAAGTGGGTTGGTTGGTCTCCAATAGTATCTTGTATAGGCAGTTATGCAACCATTTTACCTTCATCAACAAGGTTCCATTTATGTCGAACATCTTAAGAAACGAGCCAGCTAACTCCACTCTATATCCTTCTTCCATCATTTGACCAAGATCGATAATGTTACTCTTCAAGTTTGGGATATAGTATACCTTGGTCAGTAATCGTTGGTCGTCATTCTTGCACTGGAACAAGATGGATCCTTTGCCTTTGATCGGTACAATTAATCCATCGCCAAACTTCACGTTTCCAATAAGCTTCTCATCAAGCTCCTTGAACTTTGTTCGATCTCCAGTCATGTAGTTGTTTGTTCCGTTGTCAAGGTACCACATGTTGGTCTCCACTCGATCTCTCATTTTGTGAGAAGGTTCGCCATAACCTTTTCGTCGTTGAGCATCAATAGGCTGTGCATCTTCTCAGCCAACATCAGTGCGGGCTCTTGATCTTGCAGGAGTGTGAGGTTTGCCTCCTCATCTCGCTTCTTGCGGCACTCTACCGCATAGTGCCCATATTTTCCACAAGAGTAACACTTGATCATACTCTTGTCCTTCTAGGGGTTGGCATTGTCATGGGTTTGTGAGATGTTGCCACGACCTCCTCTACCACCACGTCCACGACCATGTCCACGACTACGTTCACGACCTCTATTTTCCTTGTTATGGATGCCACAGCCCCTTGTACTTGAAAAAAATGAGTCAGCCACATCATTTTTTTTTGTCCGTGCGAGCCACTCCTCATGTGTGAGTAAGCGGTGTTTCTCCTCCTCTTTGTCTCCATAGCCACGAAGTCTCTCCTCATAGACCTTAAGACGACCAACGACCTCCGCAACTGACATGTTCTTGAGGTCGCCGAATTGCTCGATAGAGGTAACAATTGACATAAATCTTAGTGGAACTGCTCGAAGGAACTTCTGGACGACGGAGATCTCCTCCACCATGACGCCTAATGAATGGATGCAGCTGACAATTGTCGTCAACTTCATGGTAAAGTCGTCTATTGACTCACCGTCCTTCATGCGAATAACTTCGAACTCACTCTTCAAGGTCTGCACATTTGCTTCCTTGACACATTCCACACCCACATGCATTTTTTACAGTGTCTCCCACGCTGTCTTTGCCGAATCCTTCTCTGCCAACATGAGAAATCTATGTGTTGAAATTTCGTGTTTTTTTTTTTATAATTATTTTTATAAAAAATTGAGTTTTGTTAAAAGATATATATATATTTAAATAATAATGAATTAATTTGATGATGGGTCAATACCATAAGCTTTTAAACCCCCTAATATCAAGTTGTGAGATCAGCTGAAACATGCAAGTTGGAGGTGACTAGGAATAACCAGTCAACGCCGGTCAAATGGGAATACTAATTCTAAGTGCATACGTCATATTTCGTCGACATTTTTTCCATTACAAAAAATAAAAAATAAAAAAATAACAAAGATCGTGGAAAATTCTATGGAGTTTATGCAAAACTACACATGATAAGCTTATCCATAATTTGAGTGAATCATCCGTCTTCGGTTTAGAGGTATAATAAGTTGAGTTGGATTGGATTGGGTTCGATAATTTTTTTAGTACTCCAAAAATTTGGATTGAGGTAAGAAACGGGAATAAATTTCTTTCAAGTTGGATTTAGTTCCGTTGTTGGGTTATATTTTTTTTAGCTAAAATCTAATAGAACGTTCTTAAATATCATATATTTAGGAAGTCACAATACATCACTAACATCGGTTAAAATGGTAGGGTTAGTTTGCAACCCTATTTTCGAATTAGTTGAATCGATTCAATAATCAAAAAATTATTAACCCACCAATCGACTCAAAATTTTGATTTTTCAAGAGTTCAACCCAACTCAAACTGAAAAAAAAAAAATTATAAATAAATAACAAACTTAATGTTCCTGGTTTGAGTTAATTAATTAAAGTTGGTTAGATTATCTAGTCATATGAATATTCCTATTCAATATTGTATCAAACGAAATAAAATAGCACAAGTCAAGTCGAGAAAAAGAACGGAAAATAATAGTTTTAGATTTGATATCATATACTATACCCACCAAGTGTATGAGTGTAAAGAGGTGGAAGTCAAAGAAATACACTTCGAATTTTCTTGGTTTACTTTGAAAATGCATTAAAAGCTTAGCATATAACATTGTAATTACTTCCATTTTGTGAATGCGTGGTTATGCTTTTTCGAGGTTGAAAATTTGTTCAATGGAGCGAGGAGCAGAGATTTGAAATTGAAATTATTTGTGTTGAAATATGAAGATACTCAACTCGTTCATTAAAGAGTTTTTGCTCGTTTGTTCTTATGGTGATAGTCAACTCATACACTTCAGTTTAGCTTTGATATTTTGGTCATAGGTTTTAGATACATTAATTAAGTTCGAGTAGAACGAAACATTTCTTATAAAAGTGTGGAAACATCTTCCTATAAGAGACTTTTTAAAATTTGAGAGAAAGTCCAAAAAAAACAATATCCACTCACAATAAACTTAGATTTTTACAAATAGTATCATAGCTAGGTTTTCAAGCGATGTGTTAAGCGAGGATGCTCGTTCCCAAATGGGGGTGGATTAGGCAAGGGTCCCACATTAATTGGAGAAAGAAACGAAGGAACAAAAACTCTTTATAAGGGTGTGGAAACTTTTTCCAAGCCAGATGTGTTTTAAAAACCTTGAGTAAAAGTTCAAAAAAAAAAAAAAATTCAAAAAGAATAATATCCGCTACCCATAAACTCTACGGTGTGTGCTTCCCAATTGTCCACTACTCATCCTCCCTAAAACCTTATATATTTATATACATTTATGACAGAGATGGCCGAATCTGAATTTGAACCGCCATGGACCTGACATGAACGAATCTAATCCATCTAATTAGGGTTTATAATCACATTAATTAGCAGTTACATCAATTTTTGTTGATACTATAAGAAACTAGCGAAGTCTGCCACAACAAACGGGATATAGAAAAGGAACTTACAGAAGAAAAATACAGCACGTTCACTGTCGTTTCAGGGTCAATGTCCGAAGATGGCAGATGGGCAGATGCTTGATTACAACTCCTCATCGTCCCCTCTGTTCTATTCAATGTCTTCTCTTCCCCATGTGCCTCTCTTTAATGGATTAGCTCTTCAAGAATGATTAAATTAGAGCTAGGTTCGAAGTTACAAATCTTTACCATAATATGATATTATCCACTTTGAGCAACAAAGTCTCAGTAACTTTGCTTTTGATACTTATAAAGATCATTTGGACTCCCTCCTACACTCTAATACACTCCAAGTTTTTTTGAGTTTTTGAATGAACAAATATTGTGAATCAAATCAGGTATGGATTCAATAAACAATCATGTAAGAAGAAGAAGAAGAAGAGAGGGGTATTAACAAACAGGGAGATTAGATTCAAGTATGCCAGATTCCATTTAACAGACTACGAAATTTGTTTGTGGATAATTTCCTGATGAGCTTTTTGGCATCATAAACTTCAGATTCTGCAAGTTTTTCGATGTTTTTCATATACCTAGAATTCACAATCTTCCTTCTTCCACTACTACTTCCCGTTAATGAGTTTAATATTGAGAAGAGGAACCTTTTGTTACCTGAATTTACCTCCTCTGTGTCCAGCATTTGAAGAAGCGTCTCTACATTTCGATTGTCCTGAGCGAATCTCTTCCTGTTCTTGGGGATCATGACCATCGCCGAGAGAGCCTCGGCGGCCATTACTCGAACTTCAAACGACTTTGCACCAAGAAACTTGACGAATTCTGGCATGAAACCTCCATCCCCCATTGCTTTTTTGGCTTCCTCTGATGTCTCGCTTAGCTTTACTGCAACTTTCAGAGCTATTCCTTGAAGAGAAACATCCCCATTTCGTAAGAAATGAAGAAGGTTATCCATGAACCCGTAGTTTATCAAGATATTTACATAACTAACTGATGAGAAACAGATGTTTTCAATTGCTTGCATCGCTGCCTCTAGGGTTTTGGATGAGGAACAAGATTTTGGATCCAAAACACGAACTAATCCCCGAATTCCACCTTCTTTAACCAGCAATTTGTTTACTGATTCATCCCCATATGCTATGTTTTGGAGAAAAACGATGGAGTTTATCTGTACAGATTCCTCTCTAGATCGAGAGAGCCTGATGAACGTTGAAATTGCTCCTTCTTCGATCATAAATCTCTTAATTTCTTCAACACCAACAAGATTGTTTAAAACCCCACACGCAGGACTGATCAATTCGGTTTTAGAATCAGAATTGGAGCAGATTTTTAACAGAGCTGTCACTCCGCCATGAGCAGACACAGACCAAGCATTTTCAGAATTCTCAGTGAATTTCAACAAACACCTTGCGGCTATTTTCTTCCCCACCGCACTCCCACATTCCATAACCCTAATCAATGGCGCAATTACCCCATTCCCGACTAAAACTGCTTTATAAGAATGAAATCCAGAAATTATATGAAGCACTTGCAACGCCGCTTCTTGAAGTTCCGTCTCCGGAGAACCAAGAAAATTAACTAGGAGATTCACTATCTCGCCGATTTCGATTATCACTTTCACGTACTTTTCGTCTTCAGTTACAGCGGCAAGAAGATTAACGAGAGCTTGCCTCTTCAGATCTGAACAACCAACCTTCATTCTCGTTACAATATCCCTCACATAAAACCGCATATCATCCTTACAAGCTCCAAGGCCAGGCCTAGAAACGACGATAGCGAAGCCTTGCGACAAAATGCCCGCAGTATATATTTCCGAAAGCTTCTTCGCATGGCGGTCAAATTTCGCACAGATTACATCCAAATCACTTTGCATCAATAGCTTCCCACTGAAAGAGAGGTCAACACAGCGGCGAGCGAGATCGTCGCATTCCGTAACCGTTCCAATAATCTTCCGGATTAAGTCTGAGATTGCGGGAGTTTCGTCGGAATCACAGTTATCGGCGGCGATTAAGCCGGAGTTTAATTCTTCAAGCTTGTCACGGATTAATTTCCATTTGGAGGCAAATACTTTAACGGAATGAGAAAGAGATATCAAGGAAGAAATAAGTAAAATTACTTGCCGGAGACTGGGCTTGTCGAGTGCGACATCCGGTGAGTTCGTCGGGTCCGTTTCCGCAGGTCTGGGATTCCGTTCTTTTCTCATTTTAGTAGTCACTGGAAACGGAGAACAATCATTTTCCGGCAAGATGGCGGTGCAGGCCCCGGCGAAGAGTCAGTTCTGTGGAAGCAAAACGGAAACTCCGTGATACAGAGCTACTTATCAAGATTGCAGGTCTGTGGTTACTACAGGCTTTCCCATGTCTTCTTTTAACAGAAAAATAAATAACTATATTTTAATTCAAAGGATTAAAAATCCAATATCACATTAATTAAGGTCAAAATTGGAAAATACTCCAAATTCCTTCTTGTACCTCCGAATTTAAAAAAGGATTTTTTTTTTCTTCCTAAATTTATTCTAATTTTGTGACGCTCACATAAATGTACCTAGACCATATATAAAGGATTGATACCATTAATAACAACAAGCCTAATACTAGTAGATATTGTTCGTTTTGACCCGTTATGTATCGTTGTTAGTCTCACGATTTTAAAGCGTCTTTGGTTTTAAAGCGCTTCTGGATGATGGTGGGACGATGGTACGTAGCAGGCCAAAGCAGACAATATCTGCTAGCGAGTGTTGGATTGGGGTTGAGCTCTTACAAATGCTATAAGACGATGAAAAAAACACTAGTGGGACCCTCTCCATGATAGACGCATTTTAAAACCACGTCACCACGAAAGACGATGATACCCACGAAAGACGATGATACGTAATGGATCGAAGTGGATAATATCTGCAAAATTTAGGCCTTGGGCTATTACAAAATCAATATTTAAGAAAAACTTAAAATAATTGAAGGTGGACATTGTACTCTATTTGGATCAATTCTATATTAGGTGACCTGGAATCTTCCTAGAATGCAGGTGAGTGAGGACAAAACATGTAGCAAGAACTCATATTGGGTGTGAGGATAGTCTCCCAACTAGGCGTAGTGACCATGTTACAGCGGGATGTCGGGGTCATCAAGTGTAGGACCAATTTTATGTTGGGTGACCTCAAATTTTCTTAGGGTGCATGTGAGTGAGGATAAAATATGTTGGAATAGCTCGTGTTGGTATGTGGGAAGAGTCTTCCAGCGAGGAGTAGTGACGATGTCGTAGTGGATGTACGGGAATACCGGGGTCATGAGGTGCAGAATCCAAATTTCGAATCATGGGCATGAGTTGATACTTATTTACTAAATATAAATTCATACGATAAATAAAAAAAATTGGGCTAACTTTAAAAAAAAAATTAGCATCTTATGCTTTTAAAAATATAGCTTTAACCTAATTAAAATGAAAATAATAAGTTTATGATAGAAAATAAAGTATTTAAAATTTAAAAGTTTATTCCACGACGCTATATTTATTGAATTAAAAACAAATTGTTGATGTATAAGAATAATTTTAATTTTAATTTTTAACCTTTTTAAATAAAAATTCACTTAATTTATATTATTTATATTTTTTTTTCTGTGTGTGATGATGAGAATGCTTTGTAAAAGCAACTTTTAAAAGTTGTTTTCTATAAGAAATAAATAAATAAAAAAAATATATTCACATAATTATTTCTTAAATTTTTATTTTCTCTTAATTTGTTTTAATAATTATTGATTTTTATAACTTACTAAAAAAAAAAAAAGTAAAAACCTTAGAACAATCATTTTTACTTTTTCCATATTATTTTACCACAATATTAAAAGTATTAAAAAATATTAATTTTTTTATTATTATTGAGATACATTTATATTTCAATAATATATTCCTCATCATGCTCAAATTATTACTAGAATGTAATTCAAAATAAAATTATTATTTAATAAAATTAAATGGAGTCCAAGAATTTATTCCCATTTTCATGAAATTAAACCTTATTTATTTATTTATTTACTATTTATGATGAAATAATTTTAAAAATAAATAAATATTTATTTGTTTATTTTTATTCTTAAATTTTCATCTATAAGAACCATTATAAATTACCACCTCTCTTTTATTACTTATTTAAGATATTTGTCCCTTTGACCAAAGCTTCAAAGGACTAAAATGCCCTTTTCTCCACCTAATAATACAAATATATATATATATTTATTGGTATCAGAGTCCGTCGTTGGGCAGTGTGTTAGCTAGAACATTGAGACCCTAAGGAGGTGGATTGTGAAATCTTACCTCCGTTGGAGAATAGAACAAAACATTTCTTATAAAAGTGTAGAAGTTTCTCTCTAATAGATGTGTTAGACTGACATAATATGTAATGAGTAAAAACAGACAGTATTTATTAACTAGTCATCGAGCAGTGTGTCAACGATGAGGTTGAGATTGAGCTCCCAAGGGAGATGAATTGTAAAATCTCACATCAGTTGAAAAGAAAAACAAAAGATTTCTGATAAGGGTGTGAGATTTTATATGGATTCCACGTCTGTTGTAGAGCGTAACAAACCATTGATTTAGCTTTGAAGTAGAAAGCAACCTAAGAGAAATGTACGGTTTTGATGGCCCAACAAAAGACAAATCTGTCACTTCCCGTCACGGACCACCCCCCTTAACATAACCATCCTTTTGATCAAATCCAAAAAAAAAAAAAAAATAAACAATAGGCAAAGGAGTGTATACACGTTGAGTTGGATTTGTTAGACGAACACAACTCTCTATAATAGTACGATATTGTCCACTTTGAGCATAAGCTCCATAGCTTTGCTTTGGGCTTTTCCAATAGGTCTCATAAAAATGGAGAGAAAGTCTCGTAACAATGGAGATAGTATTCTTTGATTATAGACCGATGATGTGGCACTTTAATCCAACGGAATTGAACTAGGTTGAAATTTATTTTTGAAATTTTAGGTTGGTTGAGTTAGTGACACAAACAGCTCAACTTTTTTTATTATTTGGTTGGATTGTCGGGTTGTTCTTTTTTAAAAATTATTTTTAAAAAAAATTATATTTATCTATAATACATGTTATATTCAAAAGTCACAAACCTATTACTAACCTCTGTCACAAATATAAAATATTCTTTACCTTCGTAATCATCTTAAAATTAGAGTAGAGTTAGATTGTATTGTAATCATATTTTTAGGTGGGTCGAATTGACCTAACCAAAAAAATGTCGACCCAACTCAACAGTTATGGTGTGAGTTGAGTAGTCCCAATCCGTCGGATTCTCAAGTTATATAAACATCTAAAAATAAACGATTACTAAGATGAATAGAGGACATGCAACTTTTCAACTATCAAGAAACGACTAAAATTGCACCGCTTTCAACTACGACTTAAAAATATGTGTTGAGTTATATGACAAACTTGAGGTTGTCCCGACCATCACCATGTGAAGAAGAAGAAGAAGAACTCGTTCGGTGTCGATTTAGATGTCTCGAGTGCTAACGGTAACTTTGTCTCGTTCCAATTATAAAAAGAATTAAAAAAAAAAGCAAAAGAGTTAGTATGGGGATCGTAGGACAACATGTTGGTGGGACTAATGAAACGTATTTGTTGTAAGTTAGCATTGATTTTCTCTCATTTGTGGCCCTTTGCAACATCTGCACATGCCTTCCTAACCCTAATAGCGACCCATATATTCACTCCAAACATGTTCATTCATATTAAAGTTTTCATTTTTTTCAACACCCAAAAACCAAAACTCAAACCCCATTTATTAATTTGTTTGATAAAGCAAAAGGAAAAGGAAATGGGGTTTGTTGGTTTGTTTGGCAACCAATGTTTGATGGGGAGTGCAATAATGTGAAGTGTTAGGCAATTCGTTGAGTGAGGTGAAAGATTTGTGTTGTCTTTCACTTACATAGGAAAACATTTAACGAACCCATATGCACGTATGGATACTCGTCTCATTTAATTGGTATACGTTAAAAACAATGTGAAAAATAATACTAATGCGATCTAAATATAGAACTATCGTATGAACAAACTGTAACAGCCCAACTTCACTGTTATCAAATATTGTCTTTTTTTTGGGTTTTCTCTCTCGGGTTTCCTCTCAAAGTTTTAGCAACGCATCTGCTAGGGAGAGATTTTCACACCCTTGTAAAGAATGTTTCATTCCCATCTCCAACCAATGTGATATCTCACAATTATCGTGAGATCGAGGACGCTGGACACTGAAGGTGGGTGGATTGTGAGATATCTGCTAGAGAGAGATTTTCACAACCTTGTAAAGAATGTTTCACTCCCCTCTCCAACCGATGTGGGATCTCACAATTATCGTGAGATCGAGAACGCTGGACACTAAAGGTGGGTGGATTGTGAGATCTCACGTCGGTTGGAGAGGGGAACACAACATTTTTTTATAAGGGTATGAAAATCTCTCCCTACCATACGCATTTTAAAAACTTTGAAGGGAAGTTCGAAAGGGAAAGCACAAAGAGAACAATATCTACTAGCGGTGAGCTTAGACTATTACAAATGGTAGGTAACAGTGGACTTGAGCTGTTACAGAAAGAGAATATAATACTCTCGTAACCCTAGAAATTATTTCGAGTATAGTCAATTTTGTAAGAAAAGACACCGTCATGGGAGAGAGTGTTAGGTACGAAAAGGGTAGAAAGAGTGATGGGGATGGAACAACCTTTGAGTAGAAAAGAAGTGAAATTGTTAAAAAAATGGGACAAGAGAGAGTTAGAGAACATATGTAAATGTATGGAGTGTGGCTTAGCTTTGAAGATAAAAACTATCTTTTCTTTTTCACACTACCTTGCAAGCCCACCCATTATGTCAAAAATGTACGATTGCATCAAATTCGTCTCGAATATCAACTTTTTATGCAAAGACCCATAACGTATATATAACACAGTCAACTGAGTTGGAATACACGAACTCGTTATCAGTCGAATATCAACTTTTTATACTAAGACCCATAATGTATATATAACACAGTTAACTAAATTGGAATACACGAACTCGTTATCAGTCGAATAGAAAATATTAACATATTCTTTGATATAGAAATGATAGCTACGATTAGTTGAGTTTGACTAAACCATACAGATAAATTTGAAACTTAGCCGAACGAGTAAAATATATATTCTCGACTAAATAATTACAAAAAAAAAAAAAAAAATTAAGTCAAGGGAGCGGTATTTGCGGTTTTCCCTTTAATTACATCTTCACAACCACGTGGATTCTATGGGTACGTGGCCCAAAATAGGACGGTGATGTAGTGGGCCCCCATGACACACGGGTGTGGCCCATTAATTTCTC